AGTATATATAAATATATATAATATATATAACTATATATATATATATATATATATATATATAGTATATATAGTAATATATATAATAATTATATATATAATATATATATATATATATTATAATAATGTGTATATGTATTATGTAATGTATTATGTATGTATTGTATGTATATATGTATAAAATGTATATATGATATATGTATATATGTAATATTATAACATATATATTATATATAATATATAATATATAATATATATATATATATATAAAAATGATTTATGCATATGTATCTATTTTATTAGTTAAATTTCTGTTATTGTATTTGTATATGAGAAGTTGTGTTCTGAGCCTTGATGAACTTTATAATCTAAGATTGAACTGTAATCCCCTTGGTATTTTTTTTAGACAGTGATGAATAGACTATGTATTTGAAACAAATTTCTGTGTATATTTCAGATCCATCTCTTGATAAAGGTAGTGATTCAGCAATATCAGATTTCAAGAAAGCTGTAGAACTCAACTCAAACTTCCCTATTGCTTTTGTTCAAAAGTGTTACACTGATTACAGGTATGATATGAGATACTGAGTAGCTAGGCATATACATTTGTTTGTAGTGACATGTGGATATATATATTTTGTTTTGTCTTTTACTTTCCTTTCCGTTTTTTTGCCTTGCCATTTTCGTTTCAAATTTTGAGAAGAAGAAAAAAATGTCTTAAGTATAATCTAAATTCTAAAGTTAACCCATTGGTGCTTGTATGGCAAGAATACATAACAAGGCCCCTGCATCTTTTTGTTTATTGAATGTTTTACACATAGATGAACAAGGAGTCAATAGATAGCTCTACCTATGACTCCTGTTTACCCTTTTCGTTGGTTCTATAAGCATTGTTAATAACATGATAATAACAATAGCAACAGTAATGTTGATGTTAATGGCATGAGAATTTTTTCCCAAAGATTCAAGGAAAGGGTGGCTGAGCTTTTGTGGAGCAAACAAAATTCACAAGAGAAAAAAACAGAAGACAGTGTAATTACACAGCACATATGGGTTAACCGTAGAATATTCTAGAACCATGATGATAATACATTATAATATACTATGATTATAATGTAAAAAAAAAAAAAAAAAATCTATTGTAAAAGAGCTTATATATTAAATTTATTAAATTAAATATTTAATGATTTCTATTTTCTCAGATATGCATACCAGATGGGTGATAAGGCAAAGGTAGATGAAGTAATGAAGAAATTTGATGAAGCAATTAAAAACTTCCCAAAATGTGTTGAGTGCTACGTGTTGTATGCTCAGGTAATTATTAATGGTTAATTATTGTATCAATATCCATACTAATTAATTTTAAAAATTCATATGAATAAAAGAAGTTGTATGTATATATGAATGCATATATATATGTTATAATAATATATATATATATATATATATAATATAATAATATATATATTATATATAGATAGATAGATAGATAGATAGATAGATAGATAGATAGGTGTATATATGTAGTATATATATATATATATATATATATATATATATATATATATATATATATATATATATATTATATATATATATATATATATATATATATATATATATATATTATTATATATATTATATAATATATATATATATATATATATATATATATATAATAATATATATATATATAATAATATATATATATAATATATATATATAACTATATACATATATATATATAATATATCTATCTATCTATCTATCTATATATATATATATAATATATAAGTATATATATAAATGTATAAATATATATATATATATATGTATATATGTATATATATATAAATATATAAATGTATATATATATATAATATATAAATGTATATATATATATAAATATATAAAAGTATATATATATAATATATAAAGTATATATATATGAATAT